ACAGACATACCATAAAAATTTCTAGGACCCATAATTGGTCTCCTTTAAAATGTTGACCAGAAAAACATTTGATTTACTGGCATTTCTGTTTCATTAGTGTTAAATATTAAACAAATTTTTTTCTTTTTTTAGAATCTACTGGAAGAAAAATTCACACCAACGGAATAAAAACTCAATGGCCTTATTGTTTGTTTTTATACAGGATTTTATAACTTCTATAATTGGTCTTATTTTGCCATCTGATACATTAAGGCTGAATGTTTTCTGCAAACATTTTATAATGTATAGTCAAACCATCAACAAACTGCACATTTCTCTTGAACATCAAGAAGAGCAGTACACTTGTGAATGATGAATGAATCGCACGATTTTGAAACCGTTCCCAGCTGAAAGGAGAAAAAGCTGGAAAGGCAATGTGGAAATGGTTTTCTTGCAGCCAACACAAGGCATCACATGGCCACGACAAAAAACATTTAAGATTTAGCTTTTCAGTTGTTGTTAATTTGTCGTTTCAATAAAATTGACTCATTCTGACTAAATTACATACAGGCATCAAGTATTTTTTTTAAGTCTAGTGCTTTGATCTTTTAGCTCTTTGACCTTCTGTTGGGATCTTCCTGTTCTTGTTCTTGTTCTTCACATTGTGAGTTTCATAATAACGCGTGCCAACTTTCTTCACCCTGTTGGCACGTTCCATTGCTCGTTTCTGTGGATGGATAAAGGGAGAAAAAAAGAGAACATATTAAAATTTTATTTATTTTTTACTTTCCTTATTCAAATAGTATTCACAATCAACTCAGGCAAAATGATATAAAGGAAAACAAATGCTGGAAACCTGTTTTGATGTAAGTTTGAGGGTTTTTGTGGACTCATCCACGTTCTCGGTTTTCCTCTTCTTGCTTTTCTGTTTCACAGCTGAATTTGAAGACAGATTGACAAATCTGTTGTCAGCACTTAAATGTCAACCTGAACCAGCCAAAGGGTGGTACTGTGGAAAACTATTGCCTCTACCACATCCTGTAGTCATTTGTAAGAATATATTTCCAAATTTAAAACCATAAATGAACAAACCTGTTGACTGATTTCCTCTCTTTTGTGCTTGTTTGGTTGCTGCTTGTTTAGTCTTCATGTCTGTGAACAGTCTGTCAGAAAGCGCCTTTGGTATTCTGTTCAAAATGAAGAAAAACATTTGGTTATGTTTTCACCGAGAAAGCAAACTTTTTATTTGGGATTTTCTAGAACAGTGGTTCTCAAACTTATGTGACTCATGCAACACCATTTGGAGCTCTTTAGTTAATCTTTAGATGTCAAATGATGTTTTAAAATTATTTCTTATGGCATATTTCCACTATAAATATATATTTAAAAAACCCTGTTTCCTAAATTGATCAATAAAATGTGTTGTACACGTTAAAACTACACATTGGAATTATGTTATTAGGTTTATTCACATTGTTTTTGTTTATATAAATTAGGAAATAAATGCCATACTGTACACCTTTTTCACTTAATTTTAGTAAAAAGTTTGTGAACCTCTGTTCTATCAATGGAATCGGACTAAAAAGCCTTAAAGGTTGAGATATGAACTTATAGCCAAGTCTGTGGGCTATTTAAAGAGTAACTTACCCCAAAATTAACTTTTTTAGCTGATAAACTGCGTAGAATGTGTCTAAAATGTTATATAGTACTGTTTCTGTGCTAATTTTTATGATTTTGTGCATATTTGTTCAAATCTGTAATATTTGGTCTAAAAACGTGTTTTTGCTGCTCAGATGGGTAGAGCAGCTAATTTGCATATTGGTTAACGGCTCTCCACAGTGACGTGTCTTCTCCACGGTTTCATCACAGCGGCTGTGTTCTGGTATAAAAGCCTCT